GGAGTTGAGTTGACTTCCATTCCATACTGTGATCTATGATGATGCGTGGCGTTGCAATTAGGTGTGTACATGATTTGTACTCCCTGAATCCAGCCAGCCAACCTCCTCCGGTCGTAGTTTTACTGTTGTAGTAATCTGAGTAAATTACTGCATGTGTTTGAAACAACAGTCGGAATGTTGTAATTACATTTTGCTTCATATATTATTATCAAAATGAAACTTCACAACTGTTTGTAAACGTGTTATGAAGAATGTAATTCGAATATATTATGACACTGCATCTTGTAGGCAAACACTACAAGCAGTAATTTTATAGATAATTTTGGTGAGAAACTGATTACACTTCTTGGTAGTTTTGACTAAGATTGAGATGGTCTTTGAAAATCGATGGTAGTTGAGTATTCCCATTCATATGGGTAACCATGTACCTTGGATAACTTTTCATAAGATCTCTGGATGATATCTTAATCATAAAGTGAACAGAACATTAGGGATGCTGTTGTTCTAGTACATTTATTATAAATATGGTCTGGATGTTGATAACTTCATTTAACTCCCTCCATGACTTCGACTTCCTCTTCTGTGTCTCTGCCGCCTGTATTTGAACAGTGCTGCCTAGATAGTTGAGGGAGACTTCTTTCTTTATGTTTCTCCCGTTGATGGTATGTATATAGTAGTATGTTAAGCTATGTATTTGAGGAGTTCTTCTGAAATTTATCATCTCATTAAATCCTATTTTTTTTCATTCGTTGCTTGTTTGAAATTTATGTATGCGGTAAATTGCACCTCTGTAGAGCACCCTAGTGACAACTGGAATATTCAATTAAGTTTCTTCATTTTGATTTAGAAGCTGAAATTCATCAAATCATTGGTTATTTCATGATGGACTTGCAGTCTTCTTGTAGTTAACAGTTGGCTTTGAAGGTCATCCTACCAACCACAGCCGTGATAGCCAATCACATTTGTTTTTTTTATACATTTCTATCTTCCCAGACAATATGGAGAAAACTGATTGGCTGTTTCCTCAGTTACTTTACGTGGCCTTTAAAATTAACAGCCTTGATAATGTAAATTGAGCAGAAAACAAAATGAAATGAAAACTTCCTTAGATTTATTTGTACATAAACGATGTCTATTTTGCAATCTTGTCTACCTTTTGCTTTTCTGACTCATTCTATGTTACTAAACGACACCATTGATAATTACCACCTGAATAAATAAGTGAGTAATCTCTTGAACAAATATTTACATGCCTTATGTGAAGCATTTTACTACCAATTGGTTAATGCTTTGAAGGGAAATATTATAATGTAGAACACAATGGAAGTTCAGGTGATAAATTCACTTAAACTACATAAGGATTACATAAAACAAGGTGAGGAATGTTCACGAACAAGCTAGACAAGACTATAAGTATACTATGTTGTGTAATCATATTAAAATATCACTTTGAGAAAACACTTTGCACCCACTATGAATTGCAGAACCAGTCACTATCCGATGGGTTCAACCGGAATTGTATGTTCAAAAGGAGACAATTATCAATTTATCATTGTCATGTTAATTAGTGACATTTCACACTCTCATCTTTCCCAAATATTTCTAAAACAGTCTGAAGGTTTGTTAAGAATTATCAATTAATTTTAGGTAAGAATTCATCATGGGCTAATATCAGTCGGAAGAACACTGGATAGTTATTTTGTCCTACTATGGGACTCTTCAGCAATATACACCTATGATATCCTCTCCCAGAAATCAAACCCAAGACCTTAAGATTCCACGCCTAGCACCTCATAGAGCGACCTCTATCTAATACCGTCGTTGAGTAACTATCTTCATGTTCCACTTGGTTGGCTCCATTGGTCATGTCTTCTCATCGGAACTTCGGGAATTGCCTCTCAAAGCCTCAACAGTACGCACTCACGACCCGGCTAGGGGTCGAACTCTGGGCCTTCAGGTTTCATGGCGAACGCGCCAACCATCCAGCCACTGGGTCAGCTTTTAGTGATTCACAGTTTCCAACTTCTGTCAATTCACGATATAGCGCGCCTATCACCTAAGGTTTTAGTTGGCATCCGCTTCACTTCTGACTGGTTGACCCCACAGGTTTCGGCTTCTCATTAGAATGGATGTCAGTCCATGATGAATACTACCTCTAAATTAAAAATCCCTATTCATCTCAATAATATTGATTAATATCTAATGACTACAGTGGCTGTTATTGTTACGATAGTTGTGTCTCGCACACTCACCATTCTTTTGACGTAATATTCTTATATGCTAACGCAACTCCTACTACTGCCTACTAATAATTTTATCTAACTCGTTTTTTGAACATTCCTCATCCTTGTATGGTTTTACTAAATTTATTATTCAAACCTCCTTAGTGTCCTGAATTATTATGTTTGCTTTCTATTTATCTTGGTGACTAGCAGTGGGGTCAAGGAAGTGCGTTTCCTCCAGTTTAAGACTCGTTAGCTTCATGTACTTGGAACTCAGTGAACAAGAAATGTTGTCCCCAAGGGGACTCGTACTCAGTACCTATCACTTCAAATGCCAGAGCGTTATCTATTAAGCCGGTTAGCCTCTTGGGCAATGGGTATAGTATGAATGTTATCGTTTGTAATTTCCGTCCTTGATTGGATCGAAATGACCAATCATTATTGACATATATGCTGTTACCCGTATCCGTCGCTTTTGCCTGTAGTTTCCATCTCGTTATAATGATAGATGTTAGCTAGCAGTGGGATCCAGAACACGCCTTTATGAGATTGAAAACATTAATCAATATCTTAATTACGAATTGTATCATGCAGGCTAAAGTGGTCTACAAATGTTGTGCATGCGTGTGTATAACAAACGTCTTATTCATTTCAGCAAGATACACTTCAAAATTTCTTCTCTCTAAATCGGAAACAATTTACCTCTGCAATATGAAATCGAATCCTCCCATCGTATACTATGATCATTTGGCTGAATGTTCCCTCAGTTTTAGAGTTGTAAAACACACTTGAATAAACGAGCACAACAGTTATAACAGAATGGGTATAGATCCATTCTATTTCACATTTCCTCATCAGCTGCTCATCAGTCTAAAAACCTATTTTAACATCACTTTATACAAACTGTTTACATATTAAAATCATGTTGATGAGAAACTATCGCCTTGATATAAACAGAACACTGATGTGATAGAATTGAAGGAATAAGAAGTGAGTGAGTAAACATTAAATATAAGATGAACTAATTGTATGGTAGGGCAAAAATCCTTGATGACTGAAGTAAAATAAAAATCTGGTCAGTAGTTGGACCTCGTAACTCAGTTAGTAGAACATCAGACTGGAAACCCAGTGGTCGCTAGTTCGAATCCACCCGCGGTTTAAATTTTCATTTCACCTTCAATCATCATCCACTATAAATAGTAAGTTTGTCAATATATCGAAGGATTAGACAAATATGCTAGACTGAAAACCAGATAAGAAGGGGAGATAGATGTATTCACCATTTTGAGATAGGTTAAGTAAAATATGTACAGAAAGGAGAGATTTATGTCAGCTAAAAAATTTCTTAATGCAGCTAAATTTTGTGACTAAACCGAAAACCTCCAGGTTCACAATAAACTTGTTAATCGTTCGGTCATTTGAAGTGGAATCCACTGGTCAATTCACTATATAGTTAGAGCATCCTCGGGAGTAATCGGTGGCTGTTGGGTTTACTTCTGACTTAGTTGACCACATACATCACAATTTCTCATCAAAACTACAGGATATCCATCTGTATACATGCTATCAATCAGCACAATGCAGTAATGTAGTTCCAATTCAGAATATTCGTCTGATCCATTTATGTATCGATAAACTTACCACCAGGGTTTTACATATTTATTCACCTAATTCTTTTTCTTATACTTGTATCACATCAATGTTATGTTTATCTCAAGGTGATAGTTCACTATCAAATTGATTTTAGGATCCAAGACTTTTTTTATTATAAAATAATGTTAAAATAGGATTAGATTGATGAGCAGTTGATGAGAAAATACGAAATAAAATGAATCTATGCTTATTCTAATAGAATTATCAATCTAACAATGAATGAAAGCGGTATGAAAATCTAAACTACGGTGATTACTATGTCGGTGCTCTACCAATAGAGTAAGTACTCACCAATTCTTAATAATCCCTTATTGAATTAATTAGATACAATAATACTCTTTCAAGGGTTGATTTGAAGAAAAGAATGATATTTACTTCAATAAATAACTTTAAGTACATATAATCGTCTACAGAAGTGCATATTATGTGTGCATTATAAAATTGTTCATGCCGATTTGTTACAAAATATTGAAACACCTACGCATATAGATATTATATGAAATACTTTTGAATACAGACAAACATAAATATTCATACACTAGAATATACAAAATTTGACTAAATAATATGAGTATTTATTATGAACTTGTTATTGATTATTAAAATAATATAACCTTTCTTTTTTCAATTTTTGCGCGTTTGTTCTCTGTCCTTCAATTGTTACCAAGGTCATAGAATAGATGTAATAAATAATGCAGAAAATTATTGTCTGATTAAATTGGCACAATTCTTTGCATTCAACTGTTAGGATTAATACATTGAAATAATAAAATGTAAGTGATAATAATTAATTTAAAGATAAAGATGTTAATATTCATACGTTTCGTAGCACTTTTATATGATTATATTAGTATATTTATACAGTTAGCTAGATATAATGAATTGTTACAATGTCAACATTTACTTGTGCCTCATCGAAAAATCGTAACTGATTAACTGGACTAGATAAATATCAATAATGGCAATGAATAAATAAGATAGAAAAACTTATAAACTGCTATAATATATATCACCAATGTATGCCTCGTTGGTTATTTTATCATTACTACTCATACTACTTTTAAGTAGGCAGACTTTAGCAATTAAAAGTATTTACTCTGTTTGACTTTATACAGTTCCTTGAAAATGAATCGTACGTAAGTAACACTTTTACATACAAAGGATGAATTTATCAGCATTATTACCTTCGATATAAATAGTTTGAATAGCATAGTAGTCACTTTCATGCTATAAAGGAAGGTTTTCCATTGAAATATTGGTAAAGGTTGCATTGTGCTTGATGCAGATAATCCTCATTGTGATAATTGGATTTCACTACCCATTTTACCAACTACTGTGGATGTGATTCGAGTGATGGTTCTGATGGACTAGCCTGTGACCTTCATTAAAATGGTGTTAGTTTTCAAGTTGGTATTTATAACGGACTGAAATCAGTTGCAGATCCGTTGGAAACCTGGGAGCACGAAACAGCTGTTTCATCTTAGTAAGGAACTATTCATCAGTTCGCAACCACGACCCTATGAAGAATCGAAATCATTTCCTTCAGGTCCCATGACCAGCATGTCACCATTGACCCACCAGGTCAGCGTTCAACCATCAACATTATCTTACTTCCATCAATTCACGAAATAGTGTAACCTTCATCTAGGGCTGTCGTTGAGTACCCATCTTCACTTCCTACTGGTTTTTGTGAAGAAACAACTTGCACTGGCACACCGAAATATGATGAGGAAACTGTCTTAGTTCACTACTTACCAGTACTGGTCACTATGGATTCTTCTAGATTGGCAGATAGAATATTAAATTCCAATAGTAAGAAGGCTAATTGTGGAATGGACTCCGAGGATAAACATTTCGCACCTCCAATCAGCTTATGATACAGCCTGAAATGCATCTTAAATTTCTATTCACAACTTAACTGTGACTTCCCTCAAATACAATAAGTGACATGAATATGTCTTCAGATTTTGGAAATTAACTGAAATGTAGGAAACAGGATATGCATGCTGGAAATTCCAAAGCAGAAATACTATGGAAATGAATTTGTAGAGTATTTCAATGAAGTTAAATAACGTGTATGTCAACAAGTAAACTGCACTATAATCTGTTCCTTCCTGTTCTATAGCTATAAGGTGTTGTCGTTAGAAGTGGGAAATATGAAGCGGTTGAAGGATTTTGATCACTGATGTATTCGTAGGATTGATCACGTTTGATGGGATCACCATATGAGCAATTTTGAGGTCAATCGAAGAGTACTAGGTGCGACAAGTTAGTAGATTGATGAGATTATGAGTCTTAATCGACTGAGATGACTTTGAAATGTACTTGGCAACCCGACACACTGCCTATATCGATATACCATGCAAAGGAAAGTTGGATCGCATTAGAAGTGGATTGAATGTGACCAGATCAAGATGTGATGCCAATCAATAAAGTTCCTACTTGCTAGTCTGAGACGTATGGAGAGATGTAAACTGCCAAGTTAAGGTTCTCGAGATCATATAAATCAATGGCTGAGGAGTTCTGGTGACATGATGTAGGTGTATTGACTCCTTGATATCTTCTAAAGCTTGAATATTTGTACTAACCCTTAACTGAAAATTGTTTATTCTGTCACACTACTTTGTCTACTTTGATATCGCTCCTTTTGTTTCCATCTGTTTTTTCTATACTACTGTAAAGTGTGGCAACTTGATTCGATGCACCTTGTGCGATATCAAAAAAATATTTACTAAAAACAATGGAAACTGTAACGTGTTTCACGAGTGAGTTAATGAAGCATAGAAACGTCTTTTTAAAAAATGGAATAAAATATATTATGAGGAAATATACCTCACTGATATCGAATTTGAACCATGTTACCTAAATTATCTAATGTATAATTGTCTCAAATATGCCGTTTGAGAGCCTACCTAACTTTTTCATTCATTTGATGAACTGGCATCATGCCTTTCTTTCTTCTGACATAAACCTGTTCTTGCTATCGCGACAGAAGCCAAATCAAATCAAGCTTAAAGTATATGCCAGCCATGTATTATTATTATTATTATTACTATTAATTTTCCCTTTGGTTCCTAATGGAGCATAGGAATTCAATAGCACAACTCCATTTCACTCTCTTATCTCCAATCTTCTCTTTTTACCTGCAAACACAACTGCCCACAAACTCTCATTTCTTCCTATCATCATCGCCTCCATCTCATCCTCATATCGGACACACAACTCATCGTTCCCTCTTTGCATTCCACTACAGGGACTGGTCTGGCCTGACACACGATGTCCCTAATTCGACTTCTCAATGTATGCTCAAACCATCTCCACTCTCACTTTCTTCTACTGCATATTTTCTGGGTAAAAGCTTCTTGGTTAGTTCGTTGGTAGGCTAGAGTTCCTTATTGTTTATTCTCATTATTCTGGTCATGTGATCGCCATCTTCAGTATCGAGTGAATGTAGGTGTCAGTTGTTGATGAATGTCTGTAGTTTGTTAGAAATGTCATGTGAAGTTTGTGAACCAATATAGTAGCAGTGACAGACTTGAGTGAATTAGTGTTGAGAATTTGGATCATGTTCACTCTCCCATAATCTGAATCAATAAAATAACCTTCTTGCACATCACTCAATGACCAACATTAATACTGTTAACTCACTTTAAGTATGTAGTAAAAACAAACACTGTAAATACTCTACTAGTATTTTCTTATCAATTTATAAGAAAAATAATGATAATCCTATATCTCTATAATTGTAATTTATCTAAGTTTACAAGGTATTCAGGTGGACGTTTTGTAACAGTCAAGTTTACAAGTTAACTATCTTATTTCAATTAGGTGAACAGTGTTTAAATTAGAGAATCAACTGTCTGGGGGGCGGTTTACGTAATCCTCAAGGCTATATATAGGTCAACACATATCAATCATATATAAGATTTCGAATTAAGCTGCAACATGTATTCATCACCTTTGGTTAATATGGTTAGCTAAACATGATACTTAAAAAAATAAAACTTGTTTAACACTAAAGGATAAGGTATGCAGATAATTCTAGTCTAAGTGAATAACCCATGTGTGTAGAAATGGTTGAAGATCTGCCGAAGGCAGGCATCTGGGTTATACAACCTTTTTCTACAAAGTTATCAATTGTATTCGTATATACCTGAGGTTATGAGGATTAGAGAGAACAATCCTAGTCTTTTTGAGCAGAAAATATTTGTAAAACTTTGACTAGAGAAAACTTAATAAACGATTTAAAAGGGAATTTTCATATTTCAACCACTTACCTTTTCTTCAACCCTTTTACATACATGTCCCACTTACCTGAACTTTGATTATCCACCTACTTCAGTTTTTTTAAGTTTTGACCTAACTTGGCTGTTTAAATGTCTGTAGTATCATACTTTTCTCATTACTCTTATCACCACTAAGAAAAATACCAAAATTGCCATTATTATTTGTGATACTATTGTTATTTTAGGCAGTATTTACCACCGTCTGTGATGAATACTATATTCAACAAAGTCCGCATGAACCAAAATCTTCGTTACTGCATACTGTTCAGTAGCGATATACTTCAAGATAGATATCCTGAAATTCTAATGAGAAGCCATAATGTATGACTAGTAAGAAATGAAATGATTACTCACTGAAGACCATGATGAATAGTCTCCCTAAATCATGAACTGATAAAAGTGAGAAACAATGGGCCATTCAACTCTGACCTATTGCCTGAATGGTAATGCATTCTCAGTAGAATCCGATCACAACAAAGGGATGGATGCACTCTAAGGAGTACCGCATTCAGACGGAAAACCTGTTTACTCCTTTGAGGGTTTCAATGATTCCCCAAATGATATCCATTCATAATGAATACCACCATCAAATATTACAATAAACACCTCAAACTACATTACATTTGGTAATAACAGTGTGAGTAGTAGTAGTTGTGTGAGTAATAATGGTAGTAGTAGTAGTAGTAGTGTGAGTAGTAGTAGTAGTAGTAGTAGTGTGAGTAGTAGTAGTAGTAGTGTGAGTAGTAGTAGTAGTAGTAGTAGTAGTAGTGTGAGTAGTAGTAGTAGTAGTAGTAGTAGTAGTAGTAATGGTGTTATTGCCTGGATATTTACCATCTTTATACTTCATTACCTTTTTATCACAGACTAAAGTATTCATCATGATTGGCTTTAAAATGCATAGACTTTATTAAAATAAATCTTAATGAGAGCTAATTAGAAATAATGTTGTACGCATATATATCTTCTTCTAAGCATAACACCTGAATCTTTAAGACTGGCAGGAAGTTAATTTGCTTTTCACACGGTGAAGAATAAAAAAATCATCATAGATCAAAATCTCTAATCACATTTAGATTGATTTTGTAAGAGTCTACTGCTTGTGCTTATTTTGAAAATGGTTCTGAATACCTTCACATAATTTAGTTTCGGTATATTCATCTGACTAATAAGCTTGAAAATGTATGATAGAAATACTTCAAGTTGATAAAATCCCATCTACTATTTTTTTTACTGATAATTGTTGTAAATCACCACTGTCTTACTGGATCGAATCGATCAATCTCTTTTGCCATATAGGCTATTAAACAGATTCCTCTGTAATGCCTGAAGACTCAGTGTGTTGAAATATCTTTTAGTAGTGGTTAACAGTATGGTCTAGTTCACATGTTCCATCCTGTTTGGAACTTAACAGTTAGATGTACTTTTCTTGCCATGAGTAATGTCACCTTACTGAAACTTGAATCCAGGAGAGATTGCTTTAAACACCAGATCGTTATCCGCTAGGTTGCAGAGGAGATATCCTATATCAACACAAGTCAGTCATTTTGCTCCAACATAATAACGCAAATTGCAAATATCTATAAATTATATTGTGTTAGAAATTATTATTCCTTTGGTTTCCTAGTGGAACATAAGACTTCAGCACCACGCCTCCATTCCATTTTCTTCTCTCCAGTCTTTTCAGCCTCACTCCACCACTGCCCAAAAGCTCTCATTTCTTCCTCATACGATCTCCTCCATATCACCCTCACCTCGGACGACCAACTAGTCGCTTCCTTTTTCGATTCCACTCGAGTGTCTGGCCTCATGCGTGAAGTCCACGAATTGTCTTCTCAATGCATGCCCAATCC